AGAAGAAAAAAATATTATCTGACATTCTGTGAAAATTTCCTTGCCCTGTTAATCATCATTTGGGAAATATTTAAAAAAGGGAAAAAAAATTCAAAGGGGGGCTAATATGTTTACAGATATTCAAGAAACATACAGTAAGGGAACATACTTGTTTGTTAGAAAAAACAATGCTAAAATCAGTCATTCTCCTTTGAAAATGTGCGTTCCCGGCTTATCATTTTCAAAAAAAAAAATTGGGTTTACCCCAAAATACAGCCTTTTTAGTATGAAGTGGTGACTGAAATAAAAAAGATAAACAAATACAAATACTTTTGGTAAGTAGCAGAAAATCCATAGCTCGCAAATGGATAGGAATTATAAAGGAAATACACTGTATGGACGGCGACTCAGTGGTGCAGTAGGCAGTGCTGTCGCCTCAAAGCAATGTTTGCATGGGTTTTCTCCGAGGGCTCAGATTTCAAGTCCAAAGACACGTGGTACAGGTGAATTGGGTAAGCTAAAGTTGTGATATTTCAGTTTTGTGCATACATTTAATTTTACATTTTTAAAAGGAAACAGCTACTGGCTGTCATAAAACTTTCCTTGCAAATGGAGAAGTGATAAAGCAGCCGGTAATCTCTCTATATTTGTCCCGCTGAGTGGTTTCGGACTGTGCAAATTATACAATTGTTCTGATTAAATGTGCTCCGCTGGTCGTGATTTTAATTAGAGCTGCTCTGGGAGATGCAATAGCAGAAGTGATTCCTCTGGACACTTTTAATCCTACAGTAGCTCTGGTGTACAAGCTGCATTTTCATGCTAAACGACAGGAGCGCTGCGGTCAGATACTGCTGTGTGATTCTTTTTGCTGCATGAATTATTAAAACCTTTATAAAATCGCACCGGAATGACACAGCAGGAAATGCCTCCGGTGATTTATTCTTCCTGTTTAAAGAAGTATCATTGTGTACCAGAAAATGTGAACCTCACTGACACAGATATGTCATATTTCCACCAAACCACAATGTTTGTTTTTTTTTTTTTTTTTTAAATCTGACCATTATTTATATCATAATGATTAGTTTGCATTTGAATTTTTTTTTAGACATTTGACATAATTTTTTAGTTAGGATCAGATGAGAATCACTATTAAATTCTGTCAGAAGCAAAAACAGATTAATATGATTTTGAACAGATTTGTTGTACTTGTTTGCATTAGTCCAACTTATTAGTTCATGAGTTTTTGTTTTATTTTTAAACCAATTGTGTTTAATGGCCCATTTCCACTGAGTGGTACGGTACGGTTCGGTTTCGGGTCAGTACGGGTTACCTTTATTAAGCTTCAGTTTCCACTGCCAAAAGCAACCCAGGCTCATTCTGGAAACGTAGTCCCTCTGACGTTTCTGGAGACCGCGAAATACGTCCCGGGAGGTACTAATTTGTGCAGTTTTTGTTCTCTTGTAAAGCGGCCGTAGGCTGCTGTCAAGCGACCGTCTGTCCGACTGACTGAATGACTAAATGATTGTCTGGGCGAGCGGCCAATTGGCCGTCCCACCCTCCTCCTCCTTCTCTAAACCCAAAAGTTTTTACTGATTGACCCGCTTGCCCGCCTGCCTGCCTGCTCGCTTCCCTAAACCCAAGCAACGATTTACAAAAGCCGTCCAGAAAAAGAAAAGCCCTCGTCTGATTTTGACCACGTTTTGGGATTTCACCACATTCTCACCCTGTTATGAACTCGTTCACTTTATTTTTTGGTTTCTGTCTTTGTCTTACCTGATTTCTGAAATTGCTTTTCCCCGGTCTCGAACCCGGTCGTCGCCGTCGGCCCCCCTTCGGGTCTCCGCTCCGCCGACGTACGCGACGTTTACGGAGCGGCGACACATCGCCCCGTAGAGTTCGCTTAAAAAAATTTAATGTAGCTATACATACCTTTTAAATCGCAGTCTCCAGAAACGTCCGCGACACTACGTTTTCAGAATGAGATTGGGTTGGCCAAAAGGGTACCTTGCTTTGAGAGAGTTGCTTTGTTTACTAATGAAGTGGATCTAATTGGATTTGCATTGTAAAAATTAAATAAAAGTTTTTAGTCATGATAGTGGAATGAAGTGGAATTTTTACAAAATTCTCAGCAGAAATAGCAAAAAATGTCTGCAGATTCTGTCTGGCCCTAGTTATTGGTTACCGATATCGGTCAAAAATTCCACATTGGTGCATCAGTAACTGTGTAAAGCAAAGAAATTGCTTTAACTTTAACCGATGCCTGAAAGGTCAACTATAGGCAGTTATTATACCTGTTACAGTGTTAAGAACGACAATGAGCAGTGTTCAGAATGATGTTTAAAAGACATTAAGGAGAAAATGAATAGGAAAATACTTCTGGAGCCAGCTCTGCTGAAAGGTGTACAGCCACTAATGCACTTTATGTAAGTACTACAAAATAAATGAAGTCAAAATGTCCGAATGCATTATGGTAATGAGAGAAACGTCTGCTTCACTTGAATGGAAGAATTGTCAAAACAATAATAACAATTTTTGCCATGGAATAGGATATTTTCTGACATTTTTATGACTGAATCTAAACATTGCTTTTTCTTGAAGATACCAGACGATTTGTAGAATCTTATATAACTTTATCAGTTCTATATATTTTATTATTATATGTGACCCTAGACCACAAAACCAGTCATAAGTGTAATATTTTTGGATATTGAGATTTTAGCATTATCTTAAAGCTGAATAAATAAGCTTTCCATTAATGTATGGTTTGTTGGTAAGTTTGACGGTATTTACAATTAATTGAAAGTCTCGAATCTGAGTGAGAAAATTGTCTAAATGAAGTCCTTAGCAATGCATATTACTAATCCAATAATTTGTTTTAATATGTCTATGGATAGATGTTGTATCAAAGACTAAAGAGTACACAAGACATGTCACTCGTATAGTTTTGAATGGGAAAAAGTTTAACGGTCAACATAGCGAATGAAGCGCCGCCTACTAGTACAGGAGCCAATTATCGACCACTATAATTAAAGTTTTTAAAGATGGCCGCTGAGTGAAATAACATGTCTTAAAGAGACTTTGATTTTATTTACTTTTTTGGTATAAAATAAAATTCAATTATCTTGACTCATACACTGTATTTTTGGCAACCCCCAATGCCCCCCCACCCCCCCAACCCCCTCCCCCCCAAAAAAAATTGTTTTGTAATCCAGGGCCGTCTATGTATATGAGTCAAATTCTGCATCAGCATGCATCTTGCATTGTTTATTACTTCAGAAGTAGACATGGGACGATAACTGTTTTCAAGGCTTACCGAGGTTTGGAAAGATCAAGGTTTTAAAACCGTCAAAATTTCCTGCTGTACCATTTCTATTGTATCTGTAAGTTTATGTTACAGAGATATGGCAGAAAAGATATCTAAAAATGGCATTTTAAATTGTGTAGAAATCCGTGTTTTTGAAACAAATGAAGACTTTCAATTAAGAATTTCAAAAGAATTTCAATTATACAGCCTAACATGTTTACTGCTCTAAAATATTTTAAATGTTTCTCAAAATGAGATCTGTCGTGTCCAACAGGGGAAAAAGTGTTCGTTTTTTTACCCAGATATTTAAAAATATATTTATATATTTTAAAAGCGATCTGACGAAGCATTATTTGGAGGACGATAATGTGTAGATCAGCCATGAATGAGGTCGGTGTTGTGATCTCGTTTCCTTTAAGTGCATTTGCGCGGTAGCTCGGGCAACCTGAAAAGATGCCGATTTTGTTTGATTTGAACATTTAGAAACAAAACCTATGAGACGGTTGTCGTTTAATCTTATTGGTGATTCTAGATATGTAATGTAATCGTAAGCTTGGCTAACAGTTTTGGAGAATCTTATGTTTCCCCATTCAGACAGAATGCCCGAGAATACTGTCCGAGTAACGTTTCAAAGATGAACGCCAAGTAAAATGACATGTCTTAAAAGGACTTTGATTGTATTTAGACTTTTGGCGTAGATCACTAACTTAATAAAAATCATAATAAAAAAATCAATTAGGCAAAAAATAAAATTAAAATAGGCAGTACATTTTTTTTCGTAAAACACCAAGAAAATAGACTTACATGTACTTTAAAGGTTGATGTTTAAGAAAACACAAGAGATCACCAACTTAACAAATTCTTTCTCTTTTTTTCTTTACTGAATTTTACCTTAAATACTTTAAATTTAGACTTTTGGCATAATATAAAAGTCAAGTATTTTGACTCATACACTGTAATTTTGGGCTATTCCAAACAGAAATGACTGGTTTTGTGGTCCAGGGTCGTCTATAATAGGAGTCATAATTTTGCATTTGCATGCATCTTACATTTTCAAACACAAAGATGTCATTAGCACTTGTTGGTTTAATACAAATAACACCATTCCTGTCCACAGGCTGTGCTTGTGTCTGATATTCTTACTGCACAATGAAGCGTTCAAGCAGACCGTGTAGAGCAAACCAGAAATGGTGTTGCATGTTCCGAGACCACCCCAAAACAGGCTGATATATTGTTTGACAATAACTCTCACTGAATTATTTAGTAGGCCTCCGAGCAAACGTGAAATGCCACATTTGCATTCGTATTCAGACGTGGTTATTACTTTCCGCTCGCTTAATCTGTTCTGCCATCCACATGTTAGCAAACTAAAAATACAGCGCTTTGAGAAGTTTCCAGAAAAAAAAAAGCGTTGTTGTTTTTTTAAAGACCATGGCATGATGTCTCCTCCTGCATCTGCTGTTGTTATTTGTCAAAACAAATTTGCTGTGAAGAGTTGTGATTACATTTCTGCACATCTAAGCGTGCTTTCATGCAAGGCAAAGTTGTGCATTTTCTGCACGGAGCAACCAGTGATTCATTTTGAATGCATCTTCATTTGTCTGTAATGATTTTTCATGGCAAACAACATTAATCATTGAAGGTCAATAGCATTTAGCTTTTTGCTAACGCAACTGGTCTTAATTACATGATGTTTTCTTCTTCTTTGCTTTCGAAGGGCTGTCTCCCTGACCTTAGCACATGGATTTCAAGACTTCAAATGAAGAGGTATGTGGAACAAATAGCCAGTCATTTTTTTAATTTATAAATCACCAGGAAAAATGTGTTTTATTTTTGTATCAAATCAAATCACTTTTATTGTCACATCATAAGCAGCTCGTGTGCTATGATGAGTAAAAAGCTTAGGTGCTGGCTCCAGACAGTACAAAATACAGACAGTGCAAATACAACAGCATACTCCCAAAAAACAGGACAATGTGAAATTGGCAGTGTTGACAGCGATATGTACAATGAATAGATGTACACATAGTTGTAGGCAGTATTGTTTCAAGTATGGATTGGTTAAAGTGCAGTGCACGCTACATATTGATGGTGTGCAGTGAGGGTTATGGAAGAGCCTGTGTGAGGTGTGTTAAGTGTTCATCAGCCTGATAGTTCCTTCAGTCGACTGGTGACAGGATGCTGCGAAATCGTCTGCCTGATGGTAGCAGAGAGAAAAGTCTATGGCTCGGGTGGCTGGAGTCGCTGATGATTCTCTTTGCTTTCCTCATGCACCGCCTGGTGTAGATGTCCTGGAGGGAAGCTCACCTCCTACTACGCGTCCAGCAAATCGCACAATCCTACATAGGCCTTTGTGATTGTTGCTGGTGCTGTTTCCATACCAGGTGGTGATACAGCCAGTCAGGATGATCTCCACAGTGCAGTTGTAGATGTGGTGGCTCATTCCACACATCCTGAGATGCCTGAGGAAGAAGAGGCGTTGTTGTTTCTTCCTCAGCACTGCGTCTCCATCAGAAGAGGTCACTAACTTAATTATTTCGCTTATTTAAAAAAAAAAAAGCTTTTTTACTAAATTTGGCCACATATGGCCACAGTCATATCAACCTTCAGCCCAATGCAGGTTACTGAAGCTAAGCAGTGCTGACCAGGGGTGCGTTTTCCAAACAACAACGTAACTCACGGGTGAACTATCATAGTATGATGCATCGGTTGGGAAAAAACGATGTAGTGAAGAGTGTTTCCTAAAACCATTCCTCTGTTACAGATCCATCATTTGTACTACAATAGTTAAAATGTAAAACGCCCATAATGATGCTCTTAACGGGGGGAGTAATAACTTATTTAGAGAAGAACCCCATCATTTCTTTGTGCAAATTATATTGTTTTACACGCTCACACATTTAAAATAAAATCCAAATAATTGGTAGAAACTAGTGGTCAAAATTAGTGTGTTAACGCATGCGATTAACTTGAAATATTTAACGCTTTAAAAAAAATTAACGCAGTTGCAGTTTTTTTATTTCCTGTTGTGGTCGACGTGTGTTTAACGTGCAAAGAAATATGGATAAGACCAAGGAAGCGCTTTTTGAAGGCAAGTTTCAGTATAAAACAATTAATGACGCATCACCAGGCTCTCCAGCGTTTCATGCAATTTTTCGACTTCTGTTTTAATGGAATTTGATACCACATGGTGAACGGAAAGAAAAACCTCCGCATTTCGTGACTTAGTGTTCCTTTAAGGCAGGGATGTTAAACTCCGTTCCTGAAGGGCCGTAGCTCTGCACAGTTTAGTTCCAACCCTGATTAAACACACCTGATCAAACTAATTGAGTCCTTTAGGCTTGTTTGAAACTTACAGGTAAGTGTGTTGGAGCTGGGTTGGAACTAAACTGTGCAGGTCTGCGACCCTCCAGGAATTGAGTTTGACATTCCTGCTTTAAGGTAATCAAAAATCGCTGCTTACATTGTAGACTCTTAATAAGAGTATTATCTTAATCATATTAAAATCAGAGTATTGGTGTTTTATGTAAATGTAGTCAGAAAGTGACAGATGATGTCTCGAGTTGTCAGACAGCGCATTCCTCTGCCTTTCAGCATGAGCCCTCAAATGTGTTATTAAGTTTGACGTGTTTCCCCTTACATGCAAGTGTCTGCTTCACATTGTTGTGTCAGAATCCTTGTGAAATACAGTAATACTTTAGAACGCTTAGTGCAAATATGATGAATGCGATCATGCGTGTTGAATTTGAAGGGAGTCACTCCGGCTGCGCTGTCCTGCGCGTGGTGTGTGCGTGTGTGTGTCTCTCTGTGTGTGTATATGCGTGCATGTTTCTTAGCAACAAAACTGCATAAACGTCCGTAGCCACCAAATCGGAAAGTTACGAATTGTCATGAGATTGCGTTGCACTCTCAGCTCACATCATTCAAAAGAAAAGGTCCACATTGTTCCCCAATAATGTCAACAGACTGGACTGTTTTAGCAACTGACTGAATGTAAAGGAGGACTGAGTAAAATTGTTTCTACTTTATAATTAACATTCTCAGCTCACAGCAATACAACTTTTCCATAAGTACAACTGTTGGTATTTAATTCTCTATTGTTATTTTAATTTTCCATTTTCCATATCTGTAATGCCTGTATTTTGGCGTTTTTTTTTGCAGTCCACTTAGAATCCAACTTGGAAATCATTGTTTTCTTTATTGGCGTTGATTGTTTTGTAATTCAAATAGCACTAACATGCCTGTATTTTTATTTCTGTAATAAATATGGCTGTCAAGCCAGGATCTTGATGGTTTATTGTGGGTATGTTGTTTACATGAAGAAATCTGTGTTACAAGTTAAACAAAAACTCTAATGAACAGTTATATTTTGAATTTAAATAGTATTTGTCTTGCGTTTACATGAATTTTACACTTGAATAGCCAAAATGACAAGTTTCAGTCTTTTAAATGGGATTAACCGCGATTAATCGCTATTAATTTTCAAAAAAGGTGCGATTAATTAGTAAATTTTTTAATCGATTGACAGCACTAGTAAAAACATCTACTTGTTTTCCATTAATGTAAATGACACATATAGAGCCTGTGTTTCCTTTACAAATATTATTGAGAACATTCCATATTTTATTATAAAACATAAAATCACTTACAAAAGCTAACATGTAGTCTAATCTCATATATAAATCATATAAATAAATAAATAATGAGGCTATTTATTAAAAAATTACATTTATTATTTATTAGACAATGAAAAAAATTCTACTTTAATAATAATACTTATAATATTAATAATAATGATGATTATTGTTATTTTTGTTATTATTATTATTATTTAAATTTGTATTATTATTAAGTAAGATATTGTTTATTTATTTTTTATTGTTTGAAAAGTCTCCTTTTACAGTTTGACACATACAAACCACTACAGAAATCTTCTAACCAGCAGGCCCATGTCATATACAATTCAGATACTCAATAAATAACTCAATGATTCTCAATAATAAATTAAAAGCATTAACGTGTGCTATGTGTTTTGTTTTCACAAGCTTTGGAAACGTAACGTAAATTCCGCTTTTAAATAATGGGTCCCATAAAGCTTTCGTCATGAGCCACGGCTGTGTTTAAAATCACATCAATGTTTTCAAAGTGCATCGCAAAGAGAGAGCGCAATTGTAAACATGAAGATCGCTAAAACTGAACTGTAAAAATAATTTGAAAGCAAATTACACCTAAGAGAGATGACTTTAATGCTTTTCTATTTTTAATCATTCCAAGTTTGAATTTTAGAATGTTCTAAATGAATAGGGCATAGGGGGATAAGTGGGAATAGAACACAGCCAGGAACTATGTTCCTAACAGCTCCAGAGGTGTAGTTGCAAGTGCTCAAGTTTGCGACGCAGTTTGCGAATGTTCATTGAAACAATGAATTTGTGAAATGGCAAATTAACAAACTATGTTTGTAACGACAGAACTTGGGACCTTGAGAAATGGTCAATACCTGGATGGGAGACCACATGGAAATATTAGGTTGCTGTTGGAAGTCGTGTTAGGTTTAATTGTATTATTTGATGATAATACTTATTATATTAATTTTTTCTCATGTTTGAAAGTGAAAATGCATCATCACATCAACAACCCATGTCTTACTTTCTACATTGAAACACTGATTCAGATAAAGGGTCCTTGTGTTACTTGTAGCAGACACCTTTCAGCTTTATTTGTTGAACAAAACTCTATTCAAATAAAGGCCGGGTGAAGCTGTTGAGGGAGGCAGGAATGCATCGATCAAATAAATGGATTTGTTGACTTTCCACAGAGGAACAAAGATGTTAGGTCAAAAACGATTGCTTTAATTCCCCTGTCGGCAGACGAGGAAACAAAGTTATTCAACAGACAACAGATTCACTCTATAGAGCTTCATTCTGGGAAACGCTTGACAGCAATAACTCAGCGTGACATCAGACTGAGGATTATGATCCATTGGAGAAAGTTGGGTAAATACCCTATTGTGAAATACAATATAAAATATGTTAAGATTTAGGTGTCATTTAGATCATATACAGTTGAAGACAAAATGATCATTATTAGTATGTATTATTCAAATGTTGCCCAAGTGATGATTAACAGAGCAAGGACATTTCTCCCAGTATTTCAAATGATCATTTTCTTCTGTAAAATCTTATTTTTACACTGAAGTTTGTATAAAAGTTGTATTTTTTGGATTGGCTTCAGAATAAACCTCTATTGCTAACCCATTTAAGCCTTTAAACTGCACTGTAAGCTGAAGACTTGCAAACTAAGCTGTAAAATATTACGTGCTGTTATGATGGCAAAGACCAAAGAAATCTGTTAGTTATTAAGTCTATTATTTTTAAAAATGCGTTGAAAATAATTTTTGTACTCAACTGTATTTCCTTTCCTTTTCTTATTGCATATGTACATACATTAAACAGCTCTTGATTTGAAATGGTTAACAGCACCTTCCAGTGGTCAGAAATGTCCTCTTTGTCCATTTCAACACTGTTGCGTAAATCAATCCAGAAATTGAAATAATAAAATAATTTATTGTTTTGTTTTTTTAAGTGGAATTCACTTAAACTTAAAAACTTTTTGCCACCCACACGTTGAGCATACACATACACATAATAATACAGTGTACACATAGAAATTAAGAAGATTAATTTAAGGAATCAATGTTTTTAAAGGGATAGTTCACAAAAATAAAATTCAGAAGATATATTGAAAATATGTATAAACCTGTAACTATT